CCAAAAAGTATCAAGATCCCAACGCCTATTTCATTGGGAATCCAATCGAAGCGTCAAGAAAGAGAAGAAAAAGAACTCAAAGAGGTGATTGAATAACACCCGACATGTACTCTTGCCATTAATCTAATCATTAACACTAATTTTACAACTTTCTTGGAAAAGGCAAAAAATCTTGGATTATATCACCAATCTATTAAACACAAGTGGAAAGCGTCATCTTCCTCCAAGCTGAAAAATCGAACCAATCGTGATAGGGGAATTAAGATGGGTATAGGAAAAATTAAAGGTGGCATGTTGACGTTGAGTTCTAGTGACATTAAAAAAGTTCAAGGTAGAAATAAAATAAAGAAACGCAAATATGGATCAAAAAAGTGATGGGAAGGTTCCGATCTAATAACGCTAGCACTATGAATTGTAGCATTGCCAATGGTATGGTACAAAATATCCATTTACTAATACCCTCAAAACTGACGGCAGATATTTATAATGATATGACTCGTGAGATAAGATCTTGTCACATTTTTTGCATTTAGCAGTATACAGATCATGATAGCTTGATATCCAATCCTAAAAAAATCCCATTAGACATCAATAACGCATTGTTAGATAGACACATTACTTATTTAATATTTACCAATAATATTGGAAAAGGATCATTGGGATCCAATTCGTTTAACCAGTTAAGTCCAATTTGGGTTATACGTTGAAATTCGATTGTATCCGAGGTCTCACGGATTGTTTTCTGGATTTATGATTTCAAAGTTAGATTTGTTTTATTTTTTTCCCTCAAACTCTAGAATTTTTTCATAATTAGACCTACTTTTTCATGGTGAGCAAATACGGATATCCTGACAAACGAGATAAACGACCCGTTAATGTCGTCGTACTTTAATGTTATTCCGGCTTTTAATATATTATTAACCAACACCTGGACAGTTAGAATTATCAGTTTTGCCTGATTATATTCGCGAAATGTCTACAGAAGATAAAATGATGACGAATGGCAATACCATTAATCCTGTTACCCTCCCTGATGAGTCGAATTCAATTTTTTCAATATCTACTTTGTAAGGTCTTTGCTTTGCTTCGGATAGCCATTTATCGATTGAGTCGTCGAGTTGACTTGATTAAACAATATATCAGTCAAATGTTTCACGAAACACTAAAAATGATCAGCGAAAATCTATTCACCGTGCATCATAAGTTCTTGTTGTTCTGAGAATAGGAAGTTCGGGAATGATATGATCTCCTTCCTTGTGTTTTTTAAAATACATGCCACACTGTTCGTGATATAAGCTTCGATCCATTGTAAATTAAAACGACATGAATTATAAAAACAAAACCATATCGACAGTATTATGAGTGATCTTTATTCTACCTACCTTGTCATTTGCTGGCATCTTTTCTGCATTACTTCTCTATAGTTCATTCCCCCTGCATTTTCATTAATATTTAGGGACGAAAACCTATATGAATTCGAGATTTAAGATCGGACTTTTTTTAAAGAACTATTTGCATATCTGTATATACTTTTTTTCCGGGATTCCGGTGCTATCTGCCCAGACTGACGCCACAACTCGCGCATGTTCCAATTCGTCTAGTATAAAATTGCTTGATAAGTTCGATAGTAAAATCAACTTTCTGCATTATTGAATATCGGCTCTCACCTGAGCTTGATTCCGCTAAATTGCAGAATTGATCCAGCATATCCATACACGCGTCATTCATTATGCTAAACCTATCTGAATCAAA